CTTACGGAAAACCCAATTGCCAACGTTCTCTTATCCTTTTAGAAGTTTAATATGTAAAACCTAAATGTCTGGTTCAGAAGATTCGGAGGAATGTTCCGAGCAACAGTTTTGAGTAAGAGTGTGATACAAACCACAAAATTGATATATTTCCAAGAAAAAAGATACCTTTAAAATCATTGAAACTTTGTACATGTCTGGGCATGAACACAGGCAAGAAACTGGTACTTTGTATGAAAACATTGCATCACAAAACGAAAAAAGTTTTCTTGTTGCTCCAGGAAACTTCAAAGTTTAAACCCTCTGCTCTCAGCAATTCAGTGATGAGAGAACAAAATTGTCTGTCAACCTCCAGTGATGTAAAAATGCGAAAGCTGTGTTCCATTATTTGTCTTGTATAGAAGTTTCTGGTGAACAAATTTCTGCAACCAAGTTCAGTTTGGGCCGGTCCGCCTGTAATAAATATTGTAACCGAAGGTTTGTTTGTTTCGAAAAGGAAATTTTTCATGGTTGTTTGATCGCAGTGAGCGAAAGTTTCCTTACGAAAATTGTCAGTGACTGTCAGCTTCAAAAAATGTCTAGGATATTTCCGTTAGTCAAAGAGAGAAAAACGTGAAGAATAAAGTTGTTTGGCTTGTTGGTTGTTAGGCTTTTAAGTACTTAAAAGTATTTGTCTTTTGATCTGCACTACTCGTTTCAAACTTGAATCGTTGAATATCCCATTGCTCGCAAAATATTAAAACTTTATACTATTCTTTGAACCAGTCATTGAGTTTTATGGAACTATATGTTATGTACAAAGACCTCTTTCAGCCTTCTTTTAATGTAACACAGGACTTTAAGGAAGTTCGGGTAATTTATTTGTGAAAAACAAAAAATAACTTGAGCAAAATCTTTTCATGTTATGCAAAGATACCTGGAGCCAAGCAATCATCTGATTGTCTGAATCATTGCCACCAAAAAGAAAAAAAACCGGCAAACTTGTCCCAGAGGAGAAAAATATTTCACGATCATCTTAGGTTTAGAATTTGGTTACAAATATCAATCAGTTTACGTTAAATTCGTCCTGTGTAAGAAAAGAAATAAATTAGACGGCTGAAAAAGATCTTGTAAGAGGCAACATTGCGAGCTTTTAGGATTTTGTCAATTAAATTAGAATAAGGAGACGTTGAAACACGCCAATTTATAATACACTAGCTTGCCATGCTGCTTATTGTTAAAGTAGTAGTAATGTGTAGATATCCTCTTGTGCAAAAAAAAAAAAAAATTCAGACAACAAAATTTGTCGGAGAGAATTGTTGCTAAAAAGGATCTTTTGATAATTTGCGTTAAAACTTTTGGCACAAGGTGATGTTCTCATATTTTTTGGCGGAAAAATTTAAGGGAATCCATTTTCAATTTTTTGTCGAAAATGTTGCTAGGGGAAACTCTGTGCAAATTCATCCAAATTTTCCCGCCAAAAGTCTTAGTATATATTTCAACGAATTTTTTTTTGATGGAAAATTACTTAATTAAAAGACAAAACACTTATTGATTGTATGAAATAATTTAAGAAGGAAAATAAAAATCACACAAGAACATTGTTGAGTTTGATTTTATTTGATAACAACAATATACAAATATGAGTAATAAAGTCTTTAACACACTTTTTTAAAAAAAACGGCGCATGCGTATTTTGGGCGCCTGTATTTTTTCTAAGTCTTTTGGCGGGAAAATTACGCTTTTTAACCAGGTGTTACTTACAAAATAAAAAAATTTAAAAACTGGCGCATGCATATTTAAGGCGCCCGTATTTTTCTAAGTTTTTTGGTGGGAAAATTTTTGACAGGGATATAGAAAGAAGACAAATTGATAAATAAAAATTACAAGCTAACGAACTTACAAAAGAATTCAGTCAAAACAAGACTAATGTACGAGGTAAGTCCAAATTTGATTTAGAAACACCAGCGGATACATCAGTTTCCTTCCAAAGATTGAAATGGAGTGCCTATTAATTTTCCCTCTCAAAGATAAGCGAAGGTACACAAGTAACGCTACTACTGGCTTTGAAATAAATAAATGCTATGTTAACAAAATCTTACATCAACGTATTTCTTGCTTTTCTCTGATTACGTTCCTGAGTTAATGTGACAAAGGTGAGCAAATCACGGAACTCATCGAAAGCATGTGTTCCAAACATTTAGCGATTCATGCCGACAACTGCCTTCTTTCAGCGTTAGATTTTTCAGTTAATCAAAATGAGTTCGATTGTAAAAGTTCCTTTATTTTCTCATGCTAAGGTACTCAATCACATTACTGACCATAAGCTTGTACTAAAATTTCGTGATTCGTTGGAACAATCTCCTTCCTCCAGTGTTTGTGTTTACTAATGATCTCTCCGTCTTGGTGTTTGACACGTAAAGCAGATGTCTCGGTAAAGGTTGTTTTGAAGTATTAACAATCAGGAAACTTTGTTATAAATTGTTGAAAACGAATCGAATTAAAATCAAATTTTGTTCTTCCCCTGTCCAAAAATAGTTTTCGTTACCAAAGGTATTAAAATTGGTTTGTATCTGAGCCAAATACTAGAGTTCAAAGTGTACCTTCGCAGCCAATCATTAATTTTAAGCGAACATTATTAACGATTCTACCTCAAAAAAAAATATGAACACCTGATTCTAATCCGGTCGCTTGTCCATTTTCTAACTTGAGCTCATCCCAGTTACTTGTCCATTTGCCATTTTGATTTCAATCCCATAAGCCGTCCATTTTCCAGTTCAGTATCAATCCAGAGAGGTGGGCATTTGTTACATGACACTTGATGTGAAAGTAGAGGGAACTCAGCAAAGAATCGCCACCTGACAGAAGAGGAAAAATTGGTTAGACTCGCTCTCAAAAACGAAATTAATACAAGACCTTGATGCCACTGTTACGAAAAAATATGGAGAAATCGGTCGCAAACATCTCTTGAAATCAGAAGGAGTTAAGATTGCGTTTACGTAAGAGATCATAGTGTTGTTGTTTTTTTCTTATGCGTAGAATTCGTCGTCGAGTTAGTCTTATAGAGAAGTCCACAATTTAAAATAGAACATGTTGGTGTTTTGAGCACAACCAAGACAGCAAGAGCGATGTTTAGTTTGAACAACCCCCCGTAAAATCACAACAAAAGGTTTATTTTAAGACAACACTTTACTAAGTAATGCAGAACTTGTATATAAATGGCCTGAATATCCTTCTGTCGAATAAAACTAATTTCAACTTTAATAACTCTCTGTATCTGTTTCGTGCTTTCATGATTTTAACGTAGGCTTTCTTCAGGGCATAAATCAAACCATAGAACAAAGTAATATGATGTTTAAGTTCTCTTTGTTCTTTGAGAGTATTTAATGAGGACAACAACATATCAAAGCCATTCGCTATTTCCTTGTTGGAAATAAAAACGAGGAAAAAATTCCTGCAATTCTTAAGAAGCACAAGATAATTCTTATCAAGATAAACTATCTTTATTTAAAACAGAACTCAGTTCATGATTACCTTCGAAAGCAATGAATCACCGATCCTTCATTTTGGGCGCCATCTTGTCGTCATGTGTTGTACTGTCGATGCAAAATTAGCCGCCATTTGTTAAATTACTACCGGTAGGTTCAGGCTGTGGCCATTTTGACAACGCTCGTGTCCTCAACCAAAGCATTCGAACTTTTCTTTCCATCTTGAACTTTGTAAACGAAGTTGAGAGTCCTAAACGGTAGCTGAGCTTCCCACACCCGAACAAAGTTTCAGTACCACACACAAGTGAGAGAAACTCATGAATGATAATGAGGAAATATTTACAATTCAGATGGTTAGCGGGCCATCTTTGACCGCGAGGGATCGCGGGAAAACCAGTACTGGGTATAATATCAGTAAAAAAAGCTACATTTCTTTTCTGTTTCTGAAGCTTTTACATTTTAGAAATGTTCAGGGATTTCAAAAGAGAAAAAAAATCAAGAAAGAAAAATAGAAAAATCATTCCTTTTACAAGATAAATTGCAAAAGAAATTATAGAAAAGAGCTCTGAAAAAATTCAGGCTTGAATGGAAAACGACTCTGTGCTCCCCCCCTCCCTTCCTGATTCAAAATGGACGCTGCAACCAACTGAGCTACGATGTCATATATTACCAGCGACTTAAATGTTGTTGTTCCTTCCCTCAAAGAAATCTGATCACAATTAAATAAAATAAATCATTATTGGTGCGTCCGACCGATTACGATTCATCTTTTTTTTTAAGTCCTCTAACCAGCCAGGTAATTCGGTCACACTGCTAAAAGAAGATTTGAAAACATCGTGACTACTAACACCTTTCACAAAGTAATTCTTTGGAATGAAGTTTATTGATTGTATTGTGATTATTACTTTTACACAAATAACGTCGAAGATTTGCATGGAGACTTTCCTTCACAAAATCAGAAGAGACAATGGCTCGTACAATGGAACTCCTGGTTCATTATAAAATGAATATTTTGACCCTTTAACTCCTAAGATCCAATAAGTAACTCTCCTTTCTCACTGCCCTACCTTTCCTTGTGAATCGCAGAGGAGAATTTGAATTAGTCACTTCAGACCACATTTGTAAAGGCCCAACCAAGTTTGAAAAATATCTAATCATTTTTAAAGCTTTCTCGCTTGTTTTTTGGTTTTTGTTTTGTTTTTTTCGGGAGAGTGCATGACAGAAGTCTTGTGTAGCAGTCTATAACTTATTTATGTATTTGTTATTGACCAATCAGGAAAGAGATGTTTTGTTAAGCATTCAATAACTCTGTCTATGCTTACTGCCTAAGCATTGGATGATTGTGAGGATCAGCTCCCTTATACCAACTGTTTGCCACCCATCACCTGCCTGTCAGCCAACAGTTTGCTTAAAACTGTCAGCCAAAAGTTGGTCCACTGTCAATCAACAGTTGCAGACTGTATGTTGACTGTTGATCTTCATGATTACCAACACTTTAAGGATAAGTAACTGAACTTCATTTTGGGACTGCAAAATCCTAATCCTAATATCTTCACAGAAGAGAGTTCTGGGAATCAACTTGAATCAATGAAAAAAATCTAATGAAGACAAAGCATCAAACTAAAGGCACTAAACTTGTTCTTCAACAAAATTTTGAAAATCAGTGTCTGAAAGGCCATCATCTACAAGAGTTCTTTCATTCAATGAATCTTCAGTAAGCAAGTCCTGGGATGGAAGGAAACTACTACCATCTGTCTTCTCTACTATTTGATCATATTCATTATCCATTTTATCATCAAATGTCCTACTTCGATCTGCTTGAGAAGTCTCTGATTCTTCAGTTTTCTCCTCCTGGGAGTCTTTTAGTTCCTTCTTTGCACGACGCAGACCCAGAATCTGTTTGTTTACAAAAGAGACATAGCAGGTTTATATAGAGCAGTTTTTACACAAGTGTTTAACAGTTAAATAACTGTGGATACGTGAAAATCATAAATGTGAACTGCAGATAAAGAAGTGAACATGAAAACAATCCTTGCCATAATGAACACTACTTTCGCATTAGTGAAAATAACACCTGAAAAATAAGGTAGAACACTGCACTGGTATCAAAGAGGTCATGAGTTCAAATCCCATGCAGCCCTGAATTTTTTCAGGCCTAATTTTCACTACTGCTTTAGTAGTGTTCATTTCTGCACAGACTGTTTTCATATTCACCTGTTTACAGTCAAGTGGATTTGTATTGGCTTTGTGTCACTTCAATCTACAATTGGTCCAGTAAAACTTGTAAAACTCACTCTATTCATTGGATACAGTTCTGAACCCTTTGACTCCTAAGAGTGACTAACATCTTATTTCTCCTTACAATACCCCCCCTGAATCAAACATGAAAGTCATGAGAACAGAGGAGATGATCACCAACTAAAGGAGGTCTTGATTATTGAACAAATTCTCCTTGTCAGAACCTTAGGAAATGTATAGAGAGCAGTATGGAGAATATACATACTGATGTTAGGGTGTGAAGGGTTTGCCTAGTTCCATTTGAACTTCATGTTTTCCTGCCTTTCCAACAGTTTGCTTTTTGTATTGTTAATTCTTATCATCTCTTTGTGGTGTTTTCTTTTGTTTGCTCTCCAAAACAAGAATAATGCAACCCACTGCACACTCATAACAAGAAATAGCTGACTACAAACCTTAACATAATTAGCAGGTACAATTCCCTCACTGCTGCCATCAAGACTACCCAAGAGCCAACCTCTAATGCGTGGCTGCTTTCCCTTGGGAGCAAGTCGAAGAATGTCACCAGCACGGAATGACAACTCCTCATCATTTTCACCATCAAAATCATACTCTGCTCTGGCAATAACATGGTCTCCCTCTCCTGTGATCAATGAACTACGTATTACTTCTCACATAAATATTTAGGTGAAAGGGAAAAAGAAGGATGAAAGAATCGCTGTTGGACTTGTGGAGGTAAGTTTTCTAGCTTTAGGGTGAAAATTATAGACCAAAAAATGATAAGTGAAGTCAAGATGTGATTCTAGGTAAGGTAATGGTGTTTGTTAATGGGAAAGATCCTGAACTCTATTCCTCTACCCTTACATGAGTGAGGGTACTGACAGCTTTTCTTGAAGAAGCAGCAAAGCAACTAGCTATCTCATGCTTTGTAGTTAACAGTAATTAGCTGCAGTAGGTGGCTTCTAAGCTAACACTGGGCTAATGCTAAACCCTGTTTCACTTTTGAAATAATTAGGTCTCCAAGTCAGCAGAAGACTGGGGGTTAATGTGCCAAAGTACTTTGAAAGTTACTCTCTGTAGTTTTGGGGTGTAATGGGAATACAAGATATCAAATCATGTTGTTTCTAAATCCCCTGCCCAAGTCAGCTATGCATAAGCAGTACCTGTCTTCCAGTCTTTGGTTTTACTCTCGTCATTAAGCAGAGACTGTAATAACTTCCATATAATCAGTGGTGTACCGAGCACAACTCCAAAGAAGAGCAAAATGGGCCATGATCTTGGCTTTCTGGAGTCACCCTTTTCACTTGAAGATATAACAGCAGTTTCTGCACTGTTCCAAAGTTCTTCTTCAAGACTCTGGCTTACACCAAATAAAGCTTTGATCTTTCTAAAAACATATCTTATGACCTTGAACAGAGTAAATGCACCAAGCACGCTGACTAGATGAGCCCGTAGTCTACTGAAATGATCTGCCATGCTTAAAACAGCATGAAATGTGTTATGCATAGCAAAGTGAGTTGATTCCAACATCATGGCAACAGATCCAAATGCCTGCACAATAGATTCAATTGACTGAAAAGCTGCTCGGCTACTTTCTTCTGCCTGGCTTACAAAAGAACTTGTTCCTGATTGGTTCATGGCATTACCATAACGATTCATGCCAAATCCATATCCACCATAACCCCCATAACCACCTCCATACATTCCTCCATAACCTGCACATTCCAGAAAAGGAAGACATATGACTTACAAACATAATATTAATGTCATCCCTTACAAACCCATGAAAATGATTTCCTTCCTCAGTATGTACCCTCATGCTCAAGTGGTTTAAATAGAAAATTAATAGATTTGGCCTTGAAAAATTTATGGATTGTGGATTTTTGCAAAAAGTTGATTGGATTCCCAGCTTAAAAAAATATGGTGGATCCCCAATAAATTGAAAACTTTGGTCTAGAATACCTTTCTGGCTTTGTTTGCAAGTTTGCCCTGTGAACAGAACTGTTTGTCATTACCTACATTCTTTGGTATTTGCCATTTGGAGAAAGTTAACAAACATTTCTTTAATTATAGATCTTTATGGCTTTGCAACTGAATGCTATCTATTCCTCTTAACTTTAATTTATACACCATTATCACCTGAAAAACCAAAATTAATGAGCATCTATCTCCCTCCTCAACTTCACTACAGTGGAATGTCAGTCAGTAAAACTGTATTTTTAACATGTTTCTTTACCCTTTCTATACTCACCTCCCATTCCCCCTCCATACATGCCACTGTAACCTCCATACATACTTCCACCATAACCTGAAACACAGATAATTCAACCCTATTATCCAGCAAGGTACAATGAACTTTGCTAATTACACTTAAGAGATCAATAAATACATGAAGTCTTAACCCTTTACCTCCCACAAGTGATAAACATGAAACTTCTCCCTAAAATATCCATACATTATCCAGCAAACAGGTAATGACAATACTCAACCTATCAGGTAGAAGTTGATACCTTGATCAAACACCAAATTCTCCTTGCTTATTTACAAGGAATTGTGTTAAAGCTGGAGGGGAAAATTAATGATCAGATCTTGAGAATTATAGGGTTACCTACACCATGCCTTTCTCTATTCCTATTTTGCTTTGCATTGTATTTTCTTTTTTTCTTGTGCATATTTTTTAAGAAACTTCTTTACTAGTAATTCCAAGAAACCTAGTATAACATGGATGGAGATAAATAATAATAATATTAACAATAAAAAAAGAGGTAAAATGAATGTTATGTATCACACAAAGCAAAAATATGTCCTCAGTAATTAATGGATTAATGGGCTATATAAAAAAATGTTACTAATTTTGTTACGGGCCACAAAACAAAGGGAAAAACTCCTGTGGTGAATTACCATCCTGGGCTGTTGCAAGGCAGTTAGTGAAATCCAGGATTAAAAGTTTAACTTGTCATTGATTTCTCTTGAAATAAAGCATATAGTAGAGCTTACATTTCGAGAAGTTTTAGCTCAGCATTAGATGAAACTAAAGGAAACAATATAAACACTTGAAACTGCTTCCAGAGTGACAAAACTAAATGAAAAATTATTAACTAACCCTTGCTTAGTTCATTCTTGTTTGAACAACCTCAGCCCTGAAATTCTACGAGCAGCTTATCAAGCCCATCTGTAATTACCAATCACCAAACATAATTCCCATTCAATTTACTGCAATGTTTTTACTGCTTTTACTTAATTCAGTCTAAATGGTAATATAGTCACTTAAAGACTACTTCTTCAATGTTTATAAACTAACAAAGACATTTCATCTTTTTGGCACTGGAAGTCAAAACAATTGCTCAAGAAAATCTTCTATGGATGGATGGCAGAAACAGCACTCTTTGGGAATAATACAATATAGTGGACAAGAGACACTAAATAATGTTTCAGTTTTGTAATAAGAACAGGTCATGATGCTCTACTCTTCTTTAATAAGACCAAAGAGACATGTCTGTCTATTTAGTATGTATGAGCTAGTTCATTATTTCCTCTATTGTGGACTGGTCATTGTTTATTTGGGTTCTTTGTTTTCTTCTGGTTTTTCTTCATATTTAGAGTTAAATAACAGCAAACATCCTCGTTTAAGCATTTCTGGCACAAAAGACTGGATATATATATATATATGTATATTTTAACAACTGATTGTACACTAAATGACATTCAATTCATACATTTTAATCAAAGCTGTGCTCTTAAAAGAATAAAGGGAGCCTAGAGGCTCTCCTTTTTAGAATTCTAAGGTTTCTGTTGTTATTATGCATATTTGACCGTTGTTATTTAAATTTAATTTTGTTTCACAGGAATTATTAATTTAATTTATCCTTTTGTTATTCAAGCTCTTTTTTTTTAATTAGCAAATATATATGTATTTTGTTCTCTTTCCTATGTTGTAACGGTTTTTGTGTGAGCGGAATAAAGGTTGTAAATTCAACAGTTTCCAGCTGTTAAATATTTTTAGAAGAAAGCTACAAAAGGCACCTCACCGAAGAGCACAACCTGTAATAATTTGCTATGTGAAAAATAAAAAAACAAAACAAAGCAAACAAAGAAATTACCATATCTCGACCCTCCATACATCATACTACTAGTGGACCTCCGTGTTTGAGGTCGTGGCGGTAAAGGAGGTACTTTTGCCACAGAAGTACCATTGCTTGTGGAAGAATCCATTTTGCTTGGATTGAACGAACTTCGCAGAGCACTCGGTCTTGGACCAGATGCCCCTATCGGAGGTCGAGATGGCGAATCAAACGCAACAGAACTTGACCTGGCATTTGTTCCTACTCCTTCCCAAGGTTTTGGAGGAGCAGACATCCCAGAAAATTGAACTAAACTCCGAAAATGTTAGCGTTAAGAAGCCATTACACGTTACGAAACAAAATGGCGACATACGTAAACTAGTACCCAGTGTCCGAACGTTTATATATAAATCAGCAGACAAAAGGAGCTGAGATCGGACATTAGCATAGAGTATCCATGATTACATCACAAACACGCAAATACTGAATTGACTCGAATTTATAAGATATTAATAAGAAAAATTTTCCCTCACTGAGCACTGAGAGAGAAATCTAAAATTTATGAATGCAGATATTTCCCAGTCTCAAAATAAATATTTTAACAGTTACCACTAAAAAAACACTATTTATTGCTTCTAGATTAATGATTATGAACAGCCAGCCAAGTTTACGCTTTAGAGGAGGAATTTTATGTTTTTGATGTTTACAATAGCTTTTTGTCATTGAGGAAATACAGAGAAACAATTGTGGTGATGTTCATATCTTATTAGAAATAATAATTATGATAATAATAGTTTAGAAACTTATCTAAAGCATGCTACATGACATAATGATCACATGTGCTTTGCAAAAAAATATAAAGCAAGTAGAATTAGTGGATAAAATATGGTAAACACTAAAATCACTTAAAAAAATTATGAGAATCAAATGATATAAAATCTAGGACTAGAATCATCTAAAAACTAAAATGGCTTTAAAATACAATAAGAATTAAAATACCAGTTAAAATTTTTAGAGACATCTGAGAAACACTTATTCAAAATAATGAGTCAAACATTTAAAACTGTCAAAAGTAGTGGCTCTTTTGACGCATGTTGAAGTTCCAAACTTTTGGGCAGCCATGTTAAAAGAGTGATGGCCAAGTGTAGCACAAGACTTGCATAATGAATGTTTCAAGTGAAAATCATTGCTGGATCACAGAGAATAGCTTGGGAAATACTTAATTGAGATAAGCATGTTAGCTCTGAAGATAAGGTCATCATTCTGTCCTTGTTATGGCTTTCATGTTGTACAGGTTTGTTAGTGACCACAATATGGAAGGATTTTTCTTCAATGTTTTTGGCTAGCAAGGTGATGTCCATAATAGAATGCAGAGAGGAAAAAAAACCGACTGAAAGAAAAAAATTCCAAGTGGCTTTTTGTGCAAGTCTCTTTATTCAAAAATGTTTTGGACAGCCATGAATTTTTTCAACTTTTCTCCTTTCAATAACAGATCAATTCTTCATTCCCTACTTTTTAAGAAAAGTGAGAGGACAGGGGAGTAAAGAAATATGGTTTATTTTAATCTACAGGTTACAGTTTTTCCTACCAATCTTTTCAATATCTATCCCACTGTTTTCCAGATCTGAGAAAGTACATTTTAAGACTCTTAGCAAATACCCAGAGCACTACAGTCTGTATAAAACACAATTTGACAAAAATTCTTAAAATTTCTTTTATTAAAAAGGCATATAAAAATACATACAAAATCTCAAAAGAGGAAAAGCTAGACTCAACAGTCTGAGTGAAAAGGTTTAAACTTTGTACACAAAAGACTTTGAACTAATAAGTTGCTAATTACAAAAAATAATTTGCAAAACCTTTCCAGATGTAGGTGATATTTACAGTTTTATGCAAGAATGTACATGTAATTTTAAAATAGTTCATGTTCTAAATGTTAAAAAAAATTTTTCCTTCCTGCAGCTCTCAAAAATGGTCTAAAATTCCTCATCTGTGGTGAATTTGTGGGAATCCTCAGACTTTTTCTTCATAACTCCTGCACGCTGATATTCTGCAACTCTTTTCTCAAAGAAGTTGGTTTTTCCTTCCAAAGAAATGTTTTCCATGAAGTCGAATGGATTTTTTGCATTAAAAACCTGTTAAGAAAAAGAGTTACAAGATTGAAAGTTGGTTTTAAACCTTCAGTAACAGCATGTCACAAGCTCTTAAAAGTAATAAAATTTTTGGATGCTTAAGGAAAAAAAGAAAGCCCACAAATCAACAATTTTGTATTTCTTTAACCTTCCATTCATTAGTTAGTTGTGTTCCTGTCCGCCATATAATCCTTATGTAAGTAATGAGAAGTTGGTAGAGGATCAATTAATCACCAAATTCATATTTATCACCAGCTCAATCAGAACACAAACAGGACAGTGTACACACCATGCTTGTGCAAGTGGTCAGTACATGTTATGTACTGTTGTTGTGAATTTTGCTAAATAATTAATTTTTTTAATGGAAATGTTTCACTGATATCTAGTTTCTTTCTTAAATGTTGTCATAGTTTTAATGAATTGATAACAAGACTTTTCTCATCCAATTCAGTCTGTAATCAGATATTATATTGACATTGTAAAGAGAAACTGTCTTAGTCCATACCTTAGGGCAATGTAGAGCCACCAAAAGTCTGTCAGCAACAAATTCAATGTACTGCTTCATAAGGGAGTGGTTCATGCCAATGAGTCTCACTGGAAGGGCCTCTGTTAGAAATTCTTGTTCAATTTCAACAGCATCCTTGATAATTCCAATAATGGTTTCTTGTGAGGGCTTGTTTTTTAGGTAGGAGAACATCAAACAAGCAAAATCACAGTGAAGACCCTGGAATAAGAAAGTGTTAATATTAACATCAGTACACTTATACTGTCCACTACACATTTGCTAAGGTGCTGACAAGGAAAATTTGTGTAACTACCAAGAGTTCCTTTTGTTGATCATTTCCTGTATTCTTGTGACATTAATGTGAAATTTGGGGTGATATTGTAAAAAGAAATTGCTGGTCACTTATAGTGGTCAAAGGGTTATATATCTTTTGGAAGAAAATAGTGTCAAAAAAGTTTCATAGTCTTCTCTTCATTTAGTTCTCAAGGTTAGTCCTTAATTGTTGGAAAGAGGTTTTATTTTTTGTCAGGACTTGAAACAGGACAAATTTTTTTTGAGCAGTGATTTCAAGATATTCACCTTCCTTAAGTAACTTACCTCATCACGACTGATGAGCTCATTTGAGAATGTAAGTCCAGGCATCTTGCCCCTTTTGATGCAAATTTGAAACAGAAGTAGATTAGCAACTTTTTTCACCTGAAATTTAATTTAAAATCCCAAAAACAAAACAAAAAAACAAAGAGGTTTGATAGTTAATTGGACATCACTTACCTCTTTTTTAGCCAGAAAATGGCAGCAAAAGAACCAGAAAAAAAGATTCCTTCTACAGCAGCAAAGGCAACTACCCTCTCACCATAAGAAGCCTATTGCAAAAAGAACAAAACAAAAAAAATAAGGTAAGTGTTTGGACATTTTTGTCTCATCAAAATGCTTTACAATAATTTAATATGAGTGCTAATAAAAGGAATGGAAAAGAAAAAAGTTCAAGTCTACAAAATGAAATCTTACTCTCTCAGGATTGATCCAGTTCAAAGCCCACTGAGCTTTTCTTTTGACGCAAGGCATTGTCTCAATAGCATTGAAAAGATTTTCCCTGCAAAACAAACACTGATTTAAGGACTACATCAATGTGACTTTATTTTAATTAACATAAATGTAATATCAATTGAGCAAACATTTTGAATTGTCTCCAAACAAAGTAAAGAAAGATCATGTAGTTTTTTCACTTACTTTTCATCAGGGTCCTCAATGTAGGTGTCAATCAACAGACTGTACATCTCAGAGTGAATATTCTTAAAAGGGGAAAAAGTGATCAATTTAACTTTTGGAATAAGTTGTTTAGGAGTTATCAAACTAATTGATAAATTTCTTTTTTCCTCATTCTTTTCAAAATAAAAATTTTTGTCAACTTTAAAATGTCAAGGTTCTTTTTGTACAGAAGACACACTACAGCTTGGTTGTTATTGTTACATTTTACTGCTGATTCTGTTGAGATCATCCTAGGAAAAAAAAAACGGCACTTACAATATTAGTTGCAAATACAAACTTACCTCAATTGCAATTTGGAAGCCATAGAAGCATCTTGCCTCAGGAACTTGCACTTCCTGACTAAAACACTCAACCAGGTTTTCATTTACAATGCCGTCACTGGCAGCAAAGAAGGCAAGAACATGGGAAATAAAATACCTTTCATCATCCTGTGAATAAAAGAAAAATTAACAAAAGAATGTAATAACATTTAAGCTGAAAGCAGGTAGGCTATCAGAAGAAAGAAATTGTCAGCCAGTTTATGTATCATGCAGATAGAAAGACAGATTTGAACTCACCGAAAGGTTAGCCCAGTCATCTTTGTCTTTGGAGAGATCAACTTCTTCCGCTACCCAGATGGATGCTATAATGAGAAAAAAATTGTTTGAAATATAATAGCTATGGAACACGATTTATTCTAATGATGACGTCTACAAATTTCCTCCTTTCATACCAGTCTTTAGAAAAAAAACCATTAAAATTTCCTGGTCATCTGGGACTGGCTAATTACCTTTTGAGATTATATAACATACCGGGCACCAAATAGCTTGCATAATATATAGGTAATGCAACTTTCCTGGCAGCTTATGTAATATACCGGCCGGGTCACTCGCACAAAGATAATAGCTTCTAAGGGTAGGGTTTGATTTCCTTACCTTCAGCCTTTTTGTACATTTCCCAAATATCTTTATACTGGATAGGAAGAAGGACAAATCTTCGCGGATTTTCACGTAGGAGCGGTTCATCCTCGTTGTCAAATTTTGAAGGAGATTTGTAAACTGGCTTCACCGGTCCGCGAGTCTGACGGAAAATAAGAAAATTTGTATAATTCTTAAAAATTCTAAATATTCCCAGAGCTTTCACAAAAAATGCTGTTGAAATTAGCTTTTGATGTGGCTTGAACTTTCATTTCTCAACTTGAGTTCTGCATTTAACCGCCAAATACCGTTAAGTCATTCAGCGCGGGCTTATAAAATTTACATTAGATCCCTGCAGGAGTTTTCCACAGCACTTCTGGTTAAAAAAAAAACGAAGAAAAAACACAGGCAAATCCGTAACTACACCGTATTCAAACGTGCTTAAGTAACATAAATACCTCTCATGCAAACCATACTGTCGCTGTGGCCTCGTGCAGGCATACTTTTCGAGAAGTAAACGCTTCTTTCGTAAAAACTTGTGAGGGACCAGAAATTAAATTTCGACCGAAAAGAAAGTGAAATACTACGTTCGTTTTTTAATGGTTTGTCGATATTTAAGGCCTTGTGAGAAAAAGGAACGGGGAAAAGGGACCCAGATTTTTTTTCTCCCGCCAAAATCGAATAATTCGTTATTAACTGTGAACTCACCTCGTTGTTCTTTTCGTTGCTTCTGTCTTCCTTCTCGTTTATATCTACATCTTCAAGAGTTTTAGCGAGTTTGTTGATGCTGTGGCTACTCACGATATGATTGTCTACACCAAGCATGATGAATTACAACTAAGATTCTAAGAAATACAGCAAGGAGTATAAAGCGCAAAGGGATGCAATGTGCCAAAAGGCTGAGGAAGGAATGATCGCAGATGGACGCGACGCTGAAGTTCAATTTGCGCGCCGCGATAAAAGTAACCAATCACAAAAGAAGTTTTGAGAGATTTTCTTACTGTGATTGGCCTCTTTTGTTCGCGGGAATTTCAACACGGACGCAAGAACCCATATTTGGAAAACAGAAAGCATGCGACAAAGCATGCACCGGCAGCCTCGTTTTTAAGCGCCCGCGTGCAACACTTCAGCGAATATACGCTCCAAGAATCCCCGGATATTCAACCTTCATTTTGTCATTTTGAGCAAACTGTGCACTGATACAAACTTTTCAAAATATTGGTATGTTTGTGTTCTCTTTTCAATTTACTGCTTTTATCTGCTTGAAAAGATTAGTTATTTTCTGGTGTTCTTTTCTTCAGTTCTCTTGGGAGGATGTTTGGACCGGGATTGGACGGAAACAGACCGCGATGTGCTCCATTTTGGGATGACTTCTTCGCCTGTGTAGTGAAGAATGGCCGTAATGAGCAGTGGGCACTCTGCAAAGAACAGAGGGAAGACTTTATGGAGTGTCTACATCACAAGAAACTGGTACGCTTTTCGTTCATCTTTTTGTTTCTTTGAGTGACTTTGAAAACGTTTAATGCAATGTAAGGGACGATAGTTATTTCCAAGCACCTATATTTCATATTTTGTGGTTCCCGGCCTTGGTCTCCTGCGATTATACCTCTAGCACAACCCAAGGTAGACAAGGTGTGGAAATTTATTGTGCAAATTGTTCATAGCTCGATAAAACTTAATTATTTCCTAGACTGTGTGATCAAGGTAGCCAACTCCCACCCCCCCCGTACTAGATACCCATCACAATAGTGATATATACCCTAAGAGCAAATTTTTGAGAATCAAGTGCTGTCTCTATCGTATTCATTGTTAGTATTTGATGCTATTCCCCTAGTACCTATTTAATATATCAATCCATACTAACTCATATTTTTAGAGCAAGAAAAGTTTACAATGACTTCTCTTGTTTGTTGAATTACTGACTATTCAATGTCTGCCTCCCAAAAATTCTTGAAATACCTGCAAGAGTGGGAAAGGGGCCTTGTAAAATCCCTGAAATGTAAGTTGGTATGTTCCATTTGTTCTTCGTAGTACACAAGGGTTCAAAAGATCAAGAGGCAGAAAGAAAAGCTGATAAAAGCTGGAAAATGGCCACCTAAGGAGGAAAGTGCATAAAATTCTAGACTGAACATTTAGGAATTGTTTTGTACAGTGGACTATCAGCGAAGTATCAGCTAAACTTGACATTTGTCCTGAGAGATTTCTTTAAAAGATAAAAGCAGAAATTGAGCACTTATTTTGTAATCAAGGTGTTCAGGGTGAAAGATTGTTAATGTGAATGTGAATGTAAGGATAAGAAACTGACTCGGGTTGTTGAGATAAGAGGTAATGATATTATCATGCAACAAGTTTGAGAACCAGGCAGGTGTTTTGTGTATAGTAATAAAAACTATATTGTTTTCCACTGCCCTCTTTGTTTATTGGTTTGCTAGTTCCTTCACTGTACCTTCCCTTGAATGCAGTAGATTGATTCTATAATACTTTTAAGGCTGGTGCTACACAGGAGACCAACTTTAAAACATGGAAATGCAGAGAAGTATTTCTGTGTTTGTTTATTTCAATCTTTTGTACTAGTATCATGATATTTTGTGTGTATGGTATTGGTGCTTGTTGTGTGTATAGTCTACAGCACCAAAGCTGCTCTTCACTAAGGCCAATGCGTTTGAATGATATCCATTATGAATACAATACAAGTAGTTCAGACAAACTTTACTACAGCATGCAAGCAGGCTCTCATCTTTATAAGTGCTGCAGGACATGTCCCTCTGGCCTGCAGGAAGATTTGAGATGACTGGGGTAGACGCTTAGCACTAATTAGTGCTAGCCCCCTTACAGGCATCTCACTAGCTCATGATGTGCAAAGTCTACTTATTTCCCACAGGCAAAGAAAATCCTATCCCTAGATGCTAATAATGAGCCAAAGTGCTCATAGGCTAGGCCAAGTTACAAATAGTGGCCCCTACTGTGGGCAGAGAATCCTATTAAGTCTACTTTATTTAATATTGTGTACTTGTGTCGTGACTTCTTTCACTAAGACTTGCTTCTTAAATGTATGTATCTATGTTGCATTATTTTTTTACAGAAGTGTTTACAATGAGTGAAACTTGGGGCTACTATGCAAATTATCTTGAATCATGGGATTTTTAATAATTTCAAGCTAGTTGAGTCCTTGTAAGTTATGGAATTGTCATATGTCAAAAATATCTTGTAGTGGGTGCATTTTTTAGAAGTCCTTATTAAATTCTAACATTGAAGAAACCAGTTTAGGGGTGATTCTAGCTTATATTAAGCAACTCTCAGGGTTCATACTGGTCCTTTAAAAACAGAAAAGTCCTAGAATTTTATTTTGACAATTTCCAGGACTGAAAGGTCCTGGAAAAAGAGTATAGGTCCTGGACAGTCCTAGAATCTTCTTAAAATGTTAATTCTAAAGTTTTAAGAATTACCGTCATAAGAACAAGGAGAATTGATTTTGAAATCTTGGGTGTGAGGTGAAATTTGGAGCCTTGGAAAAATCAATCTGAGTCATGGAAAATTCCTGAAAAGTCATTGCAATTTGTTTCTGAAAAAAAGGTACAATCCTGAACTCTAGTTCTGCCTTAGGTTCTTGTAACTTATGAAATTGTCCTGTGTCAAACATGTCTCAGGGTGGCTGCATCTAGTTCTTGTTAAGCTCCAAAGATGAGGAAAGCCAGTTTGTTTTCTGAAGAATAACATGCCTCTTTGATGAAGAACTGTCTTTTAATAGCTTCCCTTCCCCTTCGTTACACCTGGATGAAAGAGTAATATAGAGAAGTTTGTTAAAAAGATGAAACACAAAATCCAATCTTGAAAATATCTTATTAAATGTTTCTAAGAATGTTATGGAGCCCTAGCAAATAAAACAAAACAATAACAACATTTCATTTGGAGTTGGCCTAACAAAATTTAATTGTGTGAAATCTACTTCAGTGTTTTAATTATGTAACTAAGAGAAGTTGAACTTAATCTGTTAAAAAGCTAAGGTTTTCTACTATGATATTTAAGTTAATTAAAAGTAATCTATTGAGATCAAAACATTTTCAACTGACTTGAAATATCTAACCAGTCCTTCTTCAGTGCCTCTCAAGTACTTGTCATAAATAGTTGATACATTGACAGCAGTGTTCCATATCTGGACCTTCAAAATGAGAGAATTTGTGTATGTGAAAAAAGCAAATTTATATACTTTGCACTCACTACATTTCACCATGATGGATGACCCAAACCTATTTTGTGGAAATCTCAGTTTAGTTTTGGTCCCTAAGTTGCAATAAAAGTTAAATTTTGAAATGTTTGTCCAATAATTTGAAGGTCATAGGCAATTGGCCTTTAAGATAAAAAGAAGCAGTTTTTCCACTTTGCACAGCTTTCAACTGAGCCCTTCAGTTTGTTTGGGAACAGAGAGAGATGTTCTAAAAAAACTGTTGCCATTTTGCTACCTCATCCATCTGCCCTGTTGTATGATTGAGGCCATTCTGTCCCAAGAGGAGGTTTGTTGACACCAAAAGGGATGACACATTTCTTTCTTGTTGAGCCACTCTGCCATTCACATAAAGAGTCTGAAGAAAAAAATCAGAGTAAATCAGGACAATATTAAATTGTTGTAATGTAATAGATCGTAATATTTAATATTGTAATACTGAACCTTCCATTCCAAGCACAGGGAAATACAATTCACAGTTTCCTGTTCATTCACAAACAGAAGTTTCCAAAAAATGATAATTCTTGGCTATTAACTGTTCTATTGTAATGTGTTCTCTTTGACTTAATTTTTTTGAAATTCAGTTTTTTTCTTATTCCAATTTCTCAAACAAAAGGCACCAACAGTTTTACTTGGCTTAGACTTGTAAGGCTTTTGTTTCTTAATTTTTTATTGGGTTGCTTTAATTTGATGCTTTAATAAGGATGGGTAATCTCTGACCACTTGGCAAACAATCAGTAACCAAAGAGGATAATTGCATGTATTGCTGCTTCATCACCAGACTGAAAAAAAAAAACAAAAAAACCCTCACCTGCTGTTTAGTTTGATTGTTGTACTGAAAAGCCACATGTGTCCAGGTGTTGTATGCAAAGGATATGTTACCCAGCATGCCAGTGTTGCCCACTGACAATTGTACTCCTATACAAGTAAGATATTTAAGTATTATGAGGTCAGATTGTAAATTGTAGGACAGTGGAACTTGCAACTAGCTGATTGTGGGAGGCCAACCATAATCCCAACCTCATCTTCACAAAATTAAAAAAAAAGGAAAAGAAAAAAATTTTCGCACACCAAGTACAGTAATAAGTTTTACATGCTCATACCTGACCTTCCCTTTTTTGAACCAAAGATGGGATTTGTATCTGAATTATTAATACAGGCCTTTGCAGAGCCACATTTTGCACTAAAACAAGAAAAAGAAAAGGGATGAATATAACAATTGTACATTAGTATTGCATTGAGAATCACAGGGATGGAGTTAAATGACAATTCAATTAATTTTATAGTCCATGGATAATTGGGTTACCTAAACACAATATCATCTAAGGCAATATCACTCCTGTAAGATTTTCCTTTGGCTGCAGTAAATCGCACAGCCACAAGTCCTTCATAAGCCTGATTAAGACAAAAACACAGCATTAAGAGAAAAGTTCCAACAACAATAATAGGATGATTAGATTTTCACTTGGTCAGGGTTTTTTTCATAACATAACTGTTAGGGAAAAAAGGAATTTGACAAAATTATATTTTTGCCCAATCCAATTCAAAACATAAAACTAAAACTTTTTCAAAAAAATTAGATATTAAATTGAAAAAAAAAATTGTAATTTTCATATTAATGCCAAATATTTGTTTAAACAAGAAGAAAGTTCTAAAATGTCTGACATAAGTCTTAAAGATTTTATGTATTCTTATATTTAAGATAATGACCATCCTGGGTGAACATAACCATCTGTAGTTAGGGATCTAATCTTAACTCTTCTCTAATTTCCCATGACTGTGGCAAGAATGAAAAAAAAAATGATATAAATTAATTAAACACAGAAAAATCATATCTGTGAAATATTGTGATAAAGGTAAAGATACATTTTAAAGTTGACCCAAGTTCTGGTTACATACTAGTTTACATAAAAATTCATTATTCAAACCCTGGGCACAGATGTAAAGCTTTAACATAATGAATATTTTATGACCAGAACATAAAACAATCTTGTCACCTGCTTTTCACTATGAATGCAAAACTACTATATTTTAAAATTCTCTCAACAGCAAAATTATCAGTAATCACAGAAAAGTTGTGAGAAAATATTTTCAGATCAAAACAACAAAGGGAAATAATTAAGAAGTCCAAAATATGTTCAACCAATAAGATAATATGGAATTGTTGGAATTGGAATTTTGAATAACTATATGCTAAAAATACAATGAATTTCCATGGAGATAAAATCTCACAACAGTTTATCAAGTTTCCCTGAAGTTCAAGGTAAGTAAAATAATTTACAAAATATTTTGAAGAAATATTTTTAATACCTATCTCAGACAAGTTTTAAGATATTTTTATGCATAAGCAGTAGATAACAAAGCTAAAGTGAAAATTTATCCATATAGTGAGTAAAAATGTGGGGAAATGTGTCGAAAGTTTCACAAATCTTCAAACAATTTTCAGATAATACTCTGAGATCTAGAAATAATAACTAAACATTATTTCACTGTTAACTTGCATTGGGTAATAGAGGGCATATAATAAATTATGTTAAAATTTTATGTCAATATATTATACTGCCACAGGTTTTCTTCACAACCATAATTAAGCCTACATATCAGGAGAAACAAGCTTGTATTGTAAGATATCGTTTGGAAGGTTGATTTATTCATTATTTCATGACAAGAAAAAACCAAACTTTCTTTTGGTACTATATAAAAAAATTCAACTGAAAGATTTTGAGCCAACCAAATAAAAGGAATACCCAACATGCATCATATCAGATTTAATTCTTTGAACTATCAGTATCAAAAAATGTGTGAATTAAGACAACAGTATTATTATTTACAAAAAAAAAGGGAATGAAAACATAATTAATTTAATCATTCTTTCTTTGCCAGCTTTATCATGTCCTCTGAAAGCCCACAAAAATACACGAGTAAGGATGTCTCAGCCAAAGAAAACTTAACCGAGCGCAGCAATACATGCACAAGTACATCAAACTATGACAGCCAGTACAGTGAGAAACGACGCAAGCAGAGAAAACTGGCCAATAGAAGCCCTGCCTCAAGAGGATATCCTAAAGAATGTGTAGGTAATGATATCAATTATGTGTTACACTGTAAAATGTTGATTATTAATCATATTAATTAATGACCTGTCAAACATTTTCTCTTTAAATTAGAAGTGATTCGTGTGCCCCAAAGTTTGTTTCATATCCCTAATCAGCACGACAAAAGGAACTATCATTTAAATTTGGAAATGCTTTTTCTTCCAGAATTTGATGAATTTTCAACTCAAGGAGATAATCAAGCTGTAAGGTATAGAACTGCACATCGGCAGTGGTTATTGGACAATGGTGTATTCTCACTGAATGGCATGAATGAGTGGCAGCCAGATTTGCGTCGTTGGACACCCAGCAGCAGTGCAAGATATCCACTGAGGATGAAGACATCTAAGCCACCCATTGATCCAGAAATATGTTAGTTCATTTTATGCTCCGTTCTATTTTGTCCAAGATTGTATTATGACACACAGCAAAAATCTTGTTGGCTGCATAATGTTTAATTTTAAACTAATGGCCTGTTGCAATACCAAACTTATGAAATGAAAATATTTTTTGAGTTTACACAATTCAAGAGATTTATGCAGAGAGTGACACCATGTATAACAATTTAGAGTTGTCAAAATCAAACACTGCTACACCATATCATGGCAACATAGCAAACCATAGACAACTACATGATTATTTAAAGTATGAAAAAAGATTGCAGAAAGCACACAAAGCAAGATATTAAATTGGCATGCCTTTAAATATAAATCAATTTTTTTTTTCATACTTTAGTACCAGAGGATTCTCAAGTTCACATATATCACAGTAAAAAGGACAGACTGTGGGTAAAAAGATGGATAATTGGAATGATGGAGGCAAACAGATATAACATCACTACAAACAGGCAGATGTCAAGAAAAACTTCTCGCATGATAGTTGTTTTCACACCAGAGCTTTTTCAAGAGCCGTTCTGTCAAGAAATCTTGGATGCTATTGAGGGAAAGATGGTGCTTGGTATTAAACTCAAAGACTGTGATATTCCAGAAGGGATTGCAAATGAATGCACAAGTTATATTGACCTGACAGCCACAGATCTTAGTGACCTGACTTTTCATATCTCATTTATGTTCAGGATAAAGAAAGCTCTCAAGTTACCTGTATCCATATGTTCAGCATAATTTTTTTTGTCAATCAAGACACTAAATTACTATTTACTTTTCAGGGTTTGTACACATATTTGTAAACAAACTAAAATTCAGCAAGATTTTGCACAGAAACTAAGCAATTGCTGCAGCTTGAAGAAAAACTTCAGACTTCTTCCCATTCTTTCAAAATTTAATGTTAAGTCTCCACACTTTTCCAGGTATAAGTTCCTAGGTAGCAGTTTTTTTTTTGCTAGAATTTTAGAACTTGTATGAGTCAAAAATAATTTCCAATTTTACAAATCAATGGGCATGGCTGTTTCCTTGTGGAGATATCACCCACTGAAGAACATCATTTCAAATTGGTATTGCTCAATATTTCTAGAAACATTTTGGCAAATTGTTAAAAAAATATATTATAATGATGGAGAGAGAGGTGCCTTACTGAAAGATCTATGGTTCCTTGATGCCAAATGTCACCTTGATCTCCTGCCTTCCTAAATACCATGAACCAAGTCTGATCTACTGTTTTAACCTCCACAGCTAGGCTCCCCATTTCCTTCTTGTTAGAACGATCATTCATATGATAGAAAAAAGTCATGTTACACCCCTCACCTGCAGCAAACCAAGGGGTTTCAAAAGAGGCCTAAAAAAAAACAAAATTTTCTTGTGATATTGCATTAATACAAGTACAACACACCCCCTTCCTACCCCATAGAGAGGGAACCCAGATAGGGTTGTTCATAAGTCATGCAGTGACAGAGGTATGGGTGCAATACAAGTGGCATTGGTCTGTGAGATAGGATACATAGTTGTGTAGTTACACAAAATACTACTTTTTAAATAAGTTTAAGGTTGGTCTTAACCCTTTAACTCTCAAGATCTCATTAGTAATTCTCCTTACTGTCTGCCATATAGTTCTTGTGACATTAGTATGGAGAATTTAACATTGGATCAACTAATAGTTCCTTAATTAATATTTTTCTTTATTCTTATCACTTTTCTACTTGATGTTGTATTGATATTGTAGGGAGAAATTCTGTCTTGGTCACTCATGGGAGTTATAGGGTTAACAGAACATTTCTTAAAATAACAGCTTAGATAAATTGCCATTTCATTGGAGTTGGGGATTGCTAACTCACAGTTAGTTAGCTTAATTAAGAGCAGTCTGGTTCAAGTCCACCCATTGGTGAGTCAACTAACTAAGCCTGTAATATACATGTATTCCTCATTTATTTTCAGTAACACTTTTATATAGAGGGGTATGTGTGTTGTTCATGTTTTTTTTTTTTTGTGAGAAATCCCTCTTACAAAAATTAACCCCTTGAATGATGGATTCTAGACATGGCACTACCTGGAAACAACTTGTCACTGAAGAGTAAATTTTTATTGGAAGTGACAAGGTCTAAAAAATGGAATGTGCCATTCACATGAACCCACATACAAAATAGGCAGAAAAATCAAAACAAGAGCTAGGTTCTGCAGTATTTCTAATATGTGCGGCAATAAATTCTAAAAAGTAATAAAAAGCTTTTAAAATGAGCTTTCGTTTTATTGAGGGTGTGGTTAAAAATAAAGATTAGACAAATGTTTTCTGTCAAGGAGGGACAAATACATTGTATCCAAGAGCAAGAGAAGTACCCTGAAAATGCTGCAAGTTACAGAAGGCTGCTAGATATCTTTTGGTGGCCATAGCTTTTCCTTCATTCTTATCATCTCACTGTTTGACAACATTATTAGTAAATTACTATTGTAAGGGGAAATTAATTGGAGAGTTTTGACTCTGTGCTTTCAATTTTACTAACCCTACTGCCAATGTTTATCCCTGATGTCTCCAAAAAAGCGTAATACCCTGAGCCTGTGGTGTGGTCAGCAGATGGACCAGTTTTTGGAGTTGGAGTTCCCCCTTTTTTTAGTGTCCAATCCCTCTCATCATCTGATGACTGTGTGAAAAACCCCAAATCAGGGTGCATGGAACCAAAGTTGATTGGAGGCAGATCACAAATCACCTTTCCACTGAAAGAGATGAAAGACTCTAATAGTTTAACACTCAACTTTTGACCATAGTCAAATAAGAATAATAATGCAAACTGAAAAAAATCTTTCCAGGTATTTATGCCACCAGCAATCCACCAGAAGATAACTTATTCAAAGTTTTCTTTTGAAAATGACCTTGAACTCCAAGTTCAATTTAACAAACCACATTGTGATACCAGAGGATTCTCAAGTTCCTATTTATCAACAAGTTTAAAAGTTGTCTCAACACAAAATATCTTTTTCAAGGAAATCACTTTTTACAAGGTATTGTTAAAAGAAATCTTTTGGGGTACTCACTTTGGACCCAGTATCCATATCCAAGCAGCCACAGTGATGCTTCCAGAGCCTCCTAGTAGATCACTGATCCCTCCTAAGTCTACATTACCACCACTGCCATTGAAGCTTATGGAAAAGTCACTAATCTGTTGACAAAAAAAGGGGGAGAGGTCATAGTTCTTTGTCAGAGAGACTTGCACCACCCTTCAAAACAATCAGCTACAAAACTAAACCCTGCTGCATCTTGGCCACTTTCATTTTCTCGTGTTTGACTCAGTTCCCTAGTTTTTTCATTAGCTCTAATTCATATTTTCTTTTTATCTGAGTTTCCTTTATGACTGCTTTGGTTTGGTTTAACATTGCTCAAACAAAATGACATCAATGTGATCAATAAAATGAATCTCACTTTAGGTGATCCTGCATATAACTTTGAATAGTGTACTCCTTCCTGTGAAAAGACGTACATCCCCAGGCGGCCACCATTATAACGTTTGTTTATTATGTTCCCTGAGTCTGCTAACAGCTTTCCTCCCTATCACAGCAAAACAGAAATGAAAAGCATGTTGGTTATGGGTGATGACAGTTCTGTATCTGATGGTAAGAATGGGTACTGTCCAGCTGTCAGACAACTTCAGACTGATGCATTGAGAACTGACAATCAGTGTAGAATGTACAATTCATTGCAAAATTTTTCAAAACTTACCCTGTACCAACGCACACGGATCCTTCCAGAGTCTGGGTCATGCAGTATTCTCCAACGATATGCCACTCCTGCAGCCCACTTGGGACCATTGTCATACCACAGAAGATGAGTTTGATTCATGGTGTTCCCAGTCTCCCACAAAGCATCACGAAGATTCTCACCAGGTCCTGTACTTGAGTCAACCACCTGTAGACAAACAAAATTATCTCACATAAATGGTTGAAAAAAAAAATGCCAAGTGCCTCAAGATTATTGCAACCTGTAAGGACTAAAACAATGTTCATGAAAATTGGTTTTACTGCACATGCATCTGATAGTATCTCAGACCATATACCATAAGATTTATGCCTTGTCTTGCAACAGATCTTGGATAAGTCAAATTTTCTTTAAAATTGTAGGACTGGGTCATTTTCTTCCAAGAGCATACATAAAAATGCCTAAGAGAGAAAGAAAAATTGGAGGTTAACAGACTCTCAATTTTATTGTATAAAATCAACTGAATGTCAAATATTGGGGCACTTCAAATGTTATCAAAAAGGCGATGAAGAGACTACTTATACGCAGTCCTTGAACTAATATTTAACTGGTAATATTTAAAATAGGTAATAAAGGACAACTTTGGAAGTGTCAAAGTTTGTCCTTGTCAATGTGCCTCACCTATTACTCTGATAGCCAAACACTACACCAGCAATATCATCATCTTTTGTGTCAGATATAAAAAAAGTTCCACGGTAATCTACATGTCCAAATTTTGTGAAACTTATTAAAAGACCAGGATTCCTAAAAAACACACACATGACACAGAAACATTAGGTTCATTTTATTACAGTCATTGCACCCTACCATGAAATATAAAATTCTTTGGGAGTTTCATGCTCTAGATTGACAATTTTTTGCATTAAACAAAATAAAAGATATACTGCTTGATTCTGCAGGGGACAAAACTTTGCAACTCTCTGCTCAAGAACACAAAATCAGTAAGCAAAGATATTAGGAAAGAAAGCTAGGTTAACCCTTTAAATTCCATGAGTGACCAAGACAGAATTTCTCCATACATTATCAATACAAATATCAAGCAGACAAGTGATGATTGATCCAATACCAAATTCTCTAAACTATCATCACAAGAACTGTATGGGAGACAGTAAGGAGAATTACCAATGAGATCTTGGGAGTTAAAGGGTTATACTCCCACATTTTCTAACTTTCCAAGTTGTTCACAAAGAAGCAAAAAAGCAGATGATTTTATAGATTCATAATTCAAACTTTCAGGCTATTTTGCGTAAACCCTGGTATCAAGCATGCCCTTTATCTATTTTCAAAAACATTCTCATAGAGGCTCTACACCCCCCTTGCCTGATCCCCCCTAGCAAAGTTTAAAAAAAACTGTTATCAACATTTTAAATGGGGAACAGGGTACTCTAGGCTTCATGGTTTTAAAATGTTTTCATTTTCAACCACTGCTCCAAAACTGTTTCTGAAGATTGTAGGCTAAATGTTTGACTTATATATAATTATCACCTTTAATTTTGAGTAATAGGCAGGGAAAAAATATATTATTTACCCATTAACAGTTTGGACAATTTCTCTTCCATTGTCATAAACCATCCACCTAGGAGGCTTCTGAACATTTCCCACACCATCTAAAATCACTTCCTGATACACACTGAAGTCTGTTTTATTTAAAAACTTGTTGACTGAATAATCATCCTGTAAAATAGCCAAAAAAATAAAAAAAAACAAAATAAAACCAATAATCATAAAATAACCATAATTCGATAAATTTAAGTATCTTACAGTATAATTGTGTGGTTTTGGAGAGTTTTCCATGGAAATGATATACTGTTCATGGGTTAAATGTAAATGTTACAGTAACCATAAATAAAGTGACAAGCTGATCCCTCTTACAATATTAGGGATAATGACCACCCATGAAACTTTTGCTTTACAAAATGAAGAATGTACTTAATTGGACATACCTGACTATCAGGAATAGAGTCACCATCTGTATCAACTACACATGCATCACCAATATTGTCACCATCACTGTCAGCCTGTAAGATAATTACACCACTTTCCAATGATTTCTTCCAGATTTCACAGAGATTTCACTCTTGAGATCTTTACAATAATTCTCTAGGCAGTCTTCAATCCATTGATTGTAACATCAGTAATGAGATTTGGTGCTAACTCAAGTGGTGTTCCTCAGTGAGTTTCCTTCATACTCATCACCTGTCTGGCTGTAGTGTATTGAGGTCACTTCTAAGTAACTCCTTAGAGTAAAATAGCTGCAGATTTTAGGGCAGAAAAGTCATGGACAGGCATACCTGATTCTCATTAGGCATAATAGGGCAGTTGTCATCAATATTCAAAACACCATCTCCATCTTTATCCTTATCACAGTCGTCTCCAAGTTCATCATTGTCACTATCAAGCTACAGATAGAACAGAAGATTAGTCTACCAATGTAACTAAAGAAGAGTGGGTAACTGACTTCCTTAACTAACTGACTGAATGAATAAATGAGAGACTGATCCACAACCAACCTGACTGACTGACTTAAACTGACTGACCAACTTTCTGGCTGGGCAATTGGCCAAAATCATAGACTTTGCCAGGCTTCTGTAGTTAGAGGAGACAAACAAATGTGTGAGTGAAAAAAAGTCAGCAGGATTTTCAGGAGAAGTCTTGGCCATTTTCTCTCACTTTGCTTATTCCTGGAAAAGGCTACTGAAATGACAACTCAGTTATCTCTCTAACCTGCTAAGCTCAGCAATCTAACAATAATCTTGCTTTGAGACTTAAGTGACTGAAAGTTAAACTACTAGACAGTTAGATTTCCCAGAGATGACAATTTAACCAAATGAAAAATGAACCAGGAGTTTCATATCTGACCTGATCCCCATTGGGAACATCTTTACAGTTGTCAATACCATCACTTATGCCATCTTGATCTGCATCTGACATGTCCTCACATGCATCCCCAATAAGATCCTGGTCAGTGTCATTCTGATCAATATTATACACATTGATGCAGTTATCACATGTGTCCCCCACAGTATCACCATCAGTGTCTTCCTGCTTTGGGTTTGGCACAAGAGGGCAGTTGTCCCCATTTTTTATGCCATCATTGTCCAAATCACAGCTCTCACAAGCATCACCTGTTCCATCACCATCACTGTCTTTCTGGTCTAGATTGGGAACATCAATACAATTGTCACATATATCCCCCAAGCCATCGCCATCTCTGTCTTCTTGATTTGAATTGGCCTTAAACTGACAGTTATCCATGGTATCTGTGATGTTGTCATTGTCATCATCAATGTCACAAACATCACCAAGATCATCCGCATCATTGTTCTCTTGTCCACTGTTGGGAATGAATGGACAATTGTCGATCCTGCAATCCAGTGATTGGCAAGGTAACTGGACATCAGGAAAACCATCCAAGTCAGAATCTTGCTCACAATATTCACCGTTACCAGCAAAACCCAGGTTACAAAGACATTGGGACTGCAGGTTGTTTGGTTGTTGGACACAGGAGCCATTTACTTTGTTGCATATGGTACAAATATCACTGATGATACAAGCTGAAGACATTGATAAATAAACAATCAATTCTGAGTGGGTAAAAAAATAAGTGTGGTTGTGATCTCCAAGAAAAAATCCAGGTTTATGCCCTTGCCTGCACCACATGGCGACTGCACCCAATGAAATAATGACTGTTCTCTCAAATATTCACGAAAACATCAATTGTTAGTGCCTCTCTTTTACATAGGAGGAAGGAATTAGCTCATTGATGTCTAAATTTTTTTTTTTGTGTATAAAATAGCTTCTCTATTGTGGCTTTAGAGAGGAGAGAGACCTCTTGTATTCTACAGATTTGATTTCTGCAATTATAATGACTGAAAACAGATCTAATTTTCAAAGAATCTGTGAACATTAATCATCTGTTTGACTCTAATTGAGATGTGCCTTGCTTGTTTCAGTTATAACAGAAAGTAAGCACAAGACCTTTTTACCATAAAATACCAACAATCATTGGGCTAATTAACAGACATATTATTTCACTTTACTTTATGGTAATTTCATAAAGATGATTTGGTTTTATTTTGATTTCAAATTCAAAATTCTCAAGTACTAACTAAACACATTAGGAAAATATTTCCCGGCAAGTTTTTCTTCCAGATTGAAACAGTGACTACCTTACCTCCAATAAGACTTGTCCAAAAGCCATCTGAGCCACACTGCACATAAGAAATAGTTTGGTTGAATTCCTTATCACAGCTCACATCACAAGTATCCTTGTATTTTGTGCCAGTGCAATTTAGTAGCTCCACAAAAGGTTCCTCATAATAAGGACAAAGGAAGAGTTCAGTTCACAAGATCATCCTTAACTACACTGGTTTAACAGGAGCCCTGTGAAGTTGTAAGGTCATTTATTTTACAGAAACTCTGTCTTCTGTAACATACAGCAACTCAGACTTTGAATTTCAGATTCCATTACAAGAGAGTGGATTACTAAAATTTATGATGAAGTTATCACCGCAGTTTTACAATTTAATCAACCACGGAAAGCATCACTGGATAATCAAGTGAACATTGATAACAAGATTACAATTATTGGTCTCAAATTCTATTCCTTTTAACTCTTTATCCCTTAGAGTATCTGACATCTAACATTTCCTTACAAGATCACCCCTGAATAAAACATTTAGGTCATGGAAATAGGGGGAAATGATCAACACCTCAAGAAGCTCTTGATTGTTAAACAAATTCTCCTTTTCAGAACCTTGAGAAATGTATAGAGAAAGTATGGAGAATATGCATATTGATGTTAGGGTGTAAAGGGTTAAACTGTAAATATTTTAGCTCATATACCTGATGGAGAGGTACACCACAATCTTTGGGAAGACAATTAGTATCTTCTCCACTCCATTCTCCATTTCCTTCGCAAGAGTAAATTCCCCTTGATAAGTTTTCCTTTTTATATCCTTCAAGGCAATGAACTGTACAAATATCCCTGTATTTTGTACCAGTACAATTCTGTGATGCATAATATGGCACCTACCAAAAACGAATGATGAATCAAAACAAAAATTCATAAGTTCGACTTGACTGCTTCCTTGCACACAACATATAAAGAAGTAATTTAACATTGCTTAGAAAGTTAGTGGTTTAGGGAAAATTGGATTCAGATGCTCAGTCGTTATGCAGTCAGAATGTTTTGCTCTTGTATGCCCAAACAGTAGAAGGTTATGGTAAGAACCTAACAGACCCTAAAGGTACCTCACAGAGGGCACAATATATTAACTCATATACCTGGTGGAGAGGTTCACCACAATCTTTGGGAAGACAATTAGTATCTTCTCCACTCCATTCTCCATTTCCCTCGCAAGAGTAAATTCCCCTTGATAAGTTTTCCTTTTCATATCCTTCAAGGCAATGAACTTTACAAATATCCCTGTATTTTGTACCAGTACAATTCTGTGATGCATATGGCACCTAAAAAAATGAATGATAAATCTCAGTCAACAAACATTCACAAGTTCGACTTGACTGAAAGTTAGTGGTTTTGGAAAATTGGATTCAGATGCTCAGACATTATGTAGTCAGAATATTTTGTTCTTGTAAACCCAAACAGTAGAAGGTTATGGCAAGAAATAGACCTTATGCCTCACAGAGGGCACAGAAAATTAAATCACCTAGAAAAATGTTTCACCACTAGTTAAACATTTGAAAATTTAATCAACAACCTGATTACGAGATCCACAGTCTTTTTGAACACATCTTGTTCTCTCACCACTCCATTCTGCACTTTCCTGGCATTCAAAACTGCCAATCGACTCATTTTCCTTTTCAAATCCCTCAATACAGACAGTCCAGCATTTTGAGCCAATTGTTTCTCCATTACAAACCACGTGACCATCTTCCAAAGTGTGTGAAAATGGTTCACACTTCAATTCATTTTCAGTGGCTTTGCCTGTACTACTATCACCTGATTGCTCACTGTCTGAACTCTTAGATGCTGGAATCATAACAAAAAAGGGAAAGGTAAGAAAAAAAAATTCACAGTTTTCTAATTCTGATAGTTATCCAGGGTCTCCAATATGTTTTTGGGATTGGAGATTCTGCCTTGCAACTCGCGAGAAGTCAAGTCACCAGGGAAAATGAAAAATAAATCAATGTTAGAGATGACTCACCAAGTAAGAAAGGAATAGTTGCAGCCAGCACTAGAAGGACTGTAGTTATGGCAGCTATAAGAAGGATAAAAATGAGCCTTCGCCTTCTTTTCATGTCAACCACTTTGTCACAGGCAGAATCCTCTTCATCCACAGGCAGCAGATTTTGCTGTGAGGCACTTTTGGTGAATGCTTCCTAGAAAAAGCAAAAAAACTGAACAATACTACTACACACTCAGAAGTGAAGTAATTACTAAAAGAATATACTCTTGATTGCAAAAAATTTTGACACTTTACCCTTTTACTCTCATGAGTGACTGAGACAGAATTTCTCCTTACCATATCTATACAATATCATGCAGACAAGTGATAAGAATAGAGAAAAATATCAATTATGGGATTACTAATTGATCCGATAACCAAATTCTTGAAACTAACATAGTGAGAATCATTTAGGAGACAGAAAGGAGAATTACTAAAGAGATTTTTGGAGTTAAAGGGTTAAATGAAACCCAAATGCTCTCTGGGTACCCATTTACATGTAAAACACCATTAGCAGGTGGTGACTGATAAAAGCTATCCATGCTTTCCTGAGAGAAAAGGATTACCATAAAAAAGGTTTTTCATGATTGGTGAGAAAAGTGAATCACTGACTATATATCTGCATGAACATTTCCCATAAAGCCATTGGATCTCATCATTCCTGGATCATGCTTTTTAGGTGTCAACAGTTTTGCAATTGAGTGTATACTTCCAAACTTATTCCAGTCATTCCTTGACTAGGAGATATAAATTTCTATTGAATCTAGGGGAGGCTACAACCCAAGGCTAAATCTCTAACCATGACTACTTCAATGCCCTAGTGAGCTGTTCCACACAAGGATCATGGGCACCCCTAAACAATGGCATGAATGGAATTGCTGACAATGCAAAACATGCTCTGCCAGAGACCAATCCTGTTGTCATGCCCATATTGGTATAATATCTCATAATTACCACTGCAATTCAGTATGGATTAAGGCAATCTAGTAAATTAGATTTAGAGGATAAAAAAACAGCTTTATAGAATTATCATCTTTCTACAAAAATTAACTTGTACACTACATAAGGATTAATGCTTTTCAATCTCACTTAGAAGTGGGTGACTGTTATTGAAACTTTGCCATGATTGATAATACCCATGGCTGAGCTCTGATATAGTTCTCCCAATTAATAAATACTCTACTTATTAAAGGCATGATTATTGAGGGACAAGTTACTGAGGAGGAAAACTGTGTAAATTCTGATGATATATTGAAGCATTGTCAGTACACAAACAGCTTCATGTCAATCTCATTTCAACTATTCCAATAATATACAAATGATTAACAAAGGAATTTTACATTAAAAATCGGTTTTAGCAACCACTTCTTTGCATCTACCCTGTGATGGACTAACAAGGTAAAGTGAAATTTATTCAAAGAGAAAACACTTCTATGAACATCTTGTGCTTAAATTAATTTTACATTAACCTTAAACTCCACCATAGTTCTTATTATGTAAACAGGCTACCAAACCTGACACTTAATTAAAAGCAAATGTGCTCTCCCTTTTCAAGTTTTTTTTATATACAAGGTCATGGTTTGAACAACTCTGACACACATTCTGGCTCAGTCATTTAAGGCCCCTTTTTTTTTTTGCCTCGAGGAAACAATTCTTGTTACCTTATAAGGCACAAGTTTGTTGTGAAGATGAGCAAAGGCAAAATTCCAGAAAGTTACTGATCAAAATATTCCACTCTTTGACAGGTTTTTGGGATGGAATGTTTAATGTGCAAGAACAAAATTTTCTGTTTTTTTTCTCACTTTAAGCTTTATGAAGTTGTAACACACATGAAAGCAAAACAATAAAATTAGCTCTCTTGAGTACTATACTGTATCATGCTCAGAGCACTGCAAAACTGATAACATTTAGTTTTTGTGATTACAAGTGTCATACTTCAGTTTGGAAAAGAATTTTCAAAGGCTTCATTAACATGTAAATAAGGATGATCAACATTACACATGAGTGTAGGAGATTGAAAAACAACTCAGTCCTTCATAATAATTCAACTCAAAGATCTTTTGATTCTGTAATTGGATGCTCTACCATTGAGCTTGAAGGGTGGTGTGTATGACCACTACTAGATTCACATGTGACAAGCATCCTGCATACTGCTAAGTTGGCAGCAATGTAAAAAGAGTTGCAAATGAAAAGAAATAACTACTCCAACAAAACTGGCCGTCTTTTACAGACACTTTTAGACCTCCTTAAAGACTACATCAACCATTATCTTCACCCTCGATGTGAATACGTATATCATGTTCAGGAAGAGAAGGATAAGTGCGGTTGATTTATCTTAACCCCACACATGTGATAACAAGAAACTGATACACCTGATTAAACCTACGAGGGATATAACTATTCTAAACTATAATTTTGTGTCAAATTTTATCAGATGTGGCGACATTTCTCAAGGAAAAGTTGCAGATATTATCATCTATTCTCAATGAAGAGGTGGATAATAATTCAGCAGAGATGGACAAATCAGTAGAACTTTAAGTCTAGGAATGGGACTGATGTAATTCTTTACTGGGTAAGACAAAATGTTTAGGCTACAAATGCACTCTCTCGTTCTCTGAGCAGCTAACTCCGCAGCAAATTAGATGCAAAGCCGCTCTACCACTGTGTCAATTAGATTAACACTTTTTCGTTGTCTACTGTGGAGCTTCTCAATTATTAGCTAATATGCATCATTACTTTAATTTTCACCTTTTGTGTTGAGTCTGCTTCAGCCATTGCCAACTGCACACCTCCTTGACTATCTGCAGAAACGACACCAACTTTGTTTCTCCTGTGTTTTTCCATTAAGCTGCTCTGTGGTTTAGTCGCCACGGATTAACAAACATGTAAAAAAAGATTAATTAGATATAAACTTCCTTCTGTCCTCTGCGGTAAACCAGTGATATCGCGTATGCGACCACAATAAGTGTTCGATTGTTCACTTCTCCACTTCAATTTAAACGTAACCCTAACGTGATCCTTGATAATTAAAGTAAACGCGCACAGACTTACACTAAAATGTAGTTCACATGATCTTTTAAGCCCGCTATTGACTTTCTCTGTCATAAGAGCTGCCATGCTCCTTCAATTCATTCATCAGATGACAAAACATTCTCTATCTCCTCATTATATTAAAATTAAATGAATTCCTCCACCACTAAAAGGTTTCACAGATGCATTTTTCATCACAGAAGAAAATTGATCTTCCTTTCCAAGTCTTCTTTCATTAAGAAATCATACGCTGGACCATATTCAATAGCAAGTGTTAAAACAATTTCGTTCTCCTTTCGCTTGCAGTGGCAGTAAATGAAAAGTAATTTACTTTCATTGGTTAAAAATTAATGTGTCTGGACTCTCCTGATCAGTTTACATGCCGTCAGTACACAAACAACCCTGAAGAGTCTAATATGAAATAAAAACAAAGTACAAAAGCCCAACTTTCTAGATGTGTCATCGACGCTGACTTTTACACTTCCCGGGATTTCAGGGTCACTGGGAGATTGTCTCTTAGGGCCCTCCCGGACCAGAAAGGCCCCAGAGAGGAAGGGGAATTAGCCCATCCGATTTTAGAGCCTTTATGTTCCCTGAGAGTTATTGTATTTAGCGGAGAACGTGCAATTCAGGATTGATAACACGCGTATTTTCAAAGTTTTGACTATTTTCAAGAGATCATACACTCTTGCTTTTTGAATTTTTGTGAACTACGAAGGCGCATAATTACGTTAATTTACTTGTTTGTTATGTGCCGGGTAGGAGACTTAACGTAAGTTTTCTTTTGCATCTTCCCTTTGCATGAACCATTTCCAAGCTTCTAAGCCATAAGAATCAAAGTTTCATGCTGAAAAATGACGATATCAGCAATTTATTTATGTCGAGAAGTTACAGCCTACAGTATTACAAGGCATGACATAAGATATACCATTCATTTAACATATTCTTTGAAAATAACACTTCATGAAAAAAAAGGTTTGTCTTTATTCCTTTGGGTTGGAGAAAGGTACCACTCCGTGATGGTATTCAGTAATACAAGATAACTAACTGAGTTGATTCTGAAAATTGGCCACCGTGAGGAGTTTCTAATGTTGGGTTTCAAGCGTTAGCCCTTCGTCGGAGCGAATAAGGAATAGGCCATAGTTAATGGGCTATCATATCATGGGAGGTGTGCGAAAGACGAATTGCTAATATCTTCGATCTGATATTTCCTGTACTATCATGAAAGCTTTAACCCTAGAGAGTGATACGCATCTAATTTTCCCCAACAGTATCACCCCTTCAATCAAACACTGAAGCCATGAACCTGAATAAGGATACGACTGACGAGGTTAACAAGCTCTTGATTATTAGGCAAATTCTCCTTATGGGTGCCATAGGAAACGTATAGAGTACGGTATGGAGAACTTGCCAACTGAAGTTAGGTTGTAAACGTTTAAAGACCAGCAAGCTTTCAGCTTTAAGTATCTGCAAAATTTGCATCTTTTCCAATTCAATAGGATGGTCTCCGGTAATTTTAACGCGACACGAAGCTAAGCGAAAGAGGAAATCTTGACTTTCGGACTTTTGCTGAACACTTCATCGATAGCGTAAAACTGGTTTTTAAATAACTAGAAAAGCGTAGTTTTGGATAAGTAAGTTTCGTTAGTTTTGTCGTAAAGACCTACTCTCTTAAAATTTCCTCGATTTTAATTGGTTTTTAAGGACCACTACTAAGTAAGTTACTGTCAAAAGCTTATGAACTTTGTTTCTTGACCTTCACTGGATGTGGAACTGCTTCTCTGTGAGAATAAAAAGCAGCATTAAATCCATTATATTATTGACACAGCTGAAGGGAAAAGAAGATGACAGGAAAGTCTGAAAATATGTGAAGCTTTTTTTCTGAGGGAATCAAATCAAGTGAAGCCGGGATTCAATGAGACGAAGTGGTTTTCGTGAATACATATCTGGTAAAAATGACAAGATTTCGGGGATCAATGTCACTGTCTAAGCAACTGCGTACCTATTCCACCCCTAACCCAACATTAATCCTAACTTGTGATCAGTTGAATGTGGCTGGGTTAGGGGAGGGGTAAGTGTGCAGTCGTTCATGCACTAACATTGATCCGATATCGGTTACCACGACAGATGTAGTGAGACGAAAATAAAACATCCCTGATCTTTGTCAAAGGTGAAAACAGAACTCCCTAAACGTTTTACAGTAAATCTCTTCCTTTCCTGGGACCAGGAAAAAGTTATGCATTTGTTAGTAACGTGTGTTACCTACACCTGGTCTTGAAATACAGCCACTACACTGGGTATGGAAAGGAGAATCATTATTTTAGTCTAAAATGCCTCTTTTTAAATCCTGTAATAATAGACGGATGGAAATGATTGTTTAAATCAATCTCCAACTGATAAAGAAAAAAAGCTTTGAGACTTAAATAGAACACAGGTAATTGACCAGAGCGTTAGGCAAGATTCAAAATGAGGGTGTCTGCGGTCAAAATTTAGGGAAGATTTTGAGAGAATTTTCGAAAGTAAAAAAAATTATTGGGGGTTACTGTACCATGAAGGAGGAAAATTGTGCAATCGGATATGCTCACTTGCCCACACAACTCTGCTTGAGGTGCGTGGGCAAGTAATCATTTCTACACAGAAAAACGGCCCGAATTTTGTAAACATTATTAAAAAAAACCATATGGGCAAACAAGACTACCACACTATGTACGAGAATCCTTACATTCTGAGCCTGACGCTTTGTAACAGTCATGGTAAATGATTGTTCTGCAGCCCGTAAGGTGACCCTTGTTCTTTTAGACATGATACACGACCACAGGAAACTTCACCCCCACGAATGCTATTTCTTTTCTTTCATTATTGAACAAGCATCAATTAGCTTTGCCATTTTGGATCGGCTGATGCGACCAATGTTGTAGAAGACAGGTTAACTGGATAGACGCGACTTGCATCACACTGTACTCGTATCTGGGTGAGCAAATTACTCACAACCTCTTCACGAGCTGTGTGATCTAAGCCTTATGTATACTTTGGCATGCACCACTAACCAGATTTAGGATTTAAGACTCCAGGTGAGAATACAATATTGTTAAGAAACAGCGTCTTGATTTCGGCTCTTATGGTATGAAAACTAACCTTTTTAGTCCACAATATATGTACCTTATGTGGAACAGAGTCAGTATCTATATATGACAGAACTTCATGGCACACGAATTCATCACTTAGTGCTTGATTGTATTTTATTTAATTCAATTTCTACCCTGAAATCACAAATCACAGCAAAGAAGCGAAGCTAACTAAAAACTGGTAGATGAACGTATTTCAGTTGACACTAGTAAGAACAAGATCAGTTCACAACTTTATACCAGCGCGGTTAGGTGCACTGGTATAGTCTGAGAGAGGATGAGAAAAAGTGCCATTCAAAACTTTTCTCAGTCGTTTTATTCTCCATCTTGGGTATTTAGGCGGAAGAGGGTTGACAGAACTCCCACGCTAGCTTGTGTCTTAGAGCGCTTTTTCTTTTATCAGTGTTGGAGAAAAGAACTTAACGTAATTAAGACCGCTAATCGAAGCAAAGAAATTTTCTCACGATTTGATTGAAAACTCAAAGTACAAAACAAGCAAGCTGCGTCAAGCATGAGTCAGACCCGAATTTGCGATTTGTTTTGATTTCGCATCTGATTGCTTGACAGGGTCACGGGTGGGATTTTTATGGAACAATCACACGGTGTAATAGATTAAAATCAATCCAAAACTGGATCACTCGAGACCCGCTCTAAAGATCCTGTGTGACCGCAACGGTCCGATGATTTTAGCGCAAATAAAAGAGAACTGTTCCAACACAGTCTGTCGTGGATGAGTCAAATGTGTTTTTTATTTGCGACAAACCCTATCTGTAACTGCACGGATAAAGTTTGTAATGTTTTCTGCATGAACCTGAAGTTTCTCTTTGAGGAGCAGTGTTCTTCTGAACAACAGGTTCTCTGTACAGATCATACGATCTTCTTCAGCATGTATATGGTTTAGAGAAAGCCTCTTACAAAGCATTGTGATTTTCTATCCCCTTTTTTTTATGCGAAAAAAAAAACGGTCCTTCTCCTCCACTGGCACAACGAAGGACCTGAAATAAAGACTTCGAAATTATGTTTTCAGAAGTCTCCGATTTACGGCTATTCAGGCTGTAAAAAAATATTTGCAATTCTCGGAATTTTTCCCCAAGGCTTAGACTTGAAAAGGTGGCATATTGCCTGATGTAGGATTTAAAACAGCTCAATATATCTCTATTGCAGTAATTAATGAGTTTTGAGATGCAAAAGAGAAAATTCAGAGGCAATTTTTGACGCATATAGTATTTTACCAGGTGAAGAATTTGATTGGTGTCTACAATTTGTAAGGAACGTTTCTTCTCAAATTATGATGCTCAATAATTTCAGGCTAGACAGCACTTGCGAATTTATTTTCATTCTACCTTAGCCTACATCATAATAAATTATTTTTGAAAGACTACCTCATGTGCTAAAAATAAACTTTCTCTCCGACCAGCCCATAATTTTTGAGAGATTGCAATGTATTCTGGGTTGACACCAGGCGCGCTAACTTGTAAATTTTATGCAAATCTCATTTGAGTCTTGCGTTGGATATTCTCTCTCGGTCAGTTCTCTCACCAACACCCTCACGCATCTCCTTTGCTAAATGTCGAAGTTTTAAAACGCGGTTTCGGGGAATTATCGTCTCGCAATGGCGCTCGAATCAACAGTGAAGAAGCGGTGAGAAATGTTAATCGACTGCGAAATTTCCGCACTGAAGTTTCCGCGTTTCGGTTTTGTGACGTCGCTTTCTATCGCTTACATATTCTGTGTTTTTTCTTGTTTTCCAGAACAAATCTTCTAACCATAGTAGACA